TTTATTCGTAAGACTATAATAACATATTATAAATAATATTAAACTCGTTTAATATTAATCTTTCAACACACATAATTAAGTTTATTTATGAGTAATTTTGATATCAGATAACAATATGCAATTATTAATTTCTCCTTTAATGATATTAATCAGTATGATAAGAGTAGAATGTGACGAGTATTTCTGACGGAAAATAATTAATATGGGCCTTTTGTGTTTATATTGAATATTTAAAAAGCTTTACCTGAGTTTCGGTCAACATTAAGCTAGTTGCTACTTCGAAACGTTTCGGCCTGGAAAGATATTTATTCATTCTGAATTGATTTTCCAATTCTAAAAGTTGTTGACTTGTAAACGCAGTTCGCGGTCGACGAGTTTTGCCTAAAAGAGGTGTTTGACCTGAAAATAAAGCGTTTATCTTTTAAAATTTCAAATACTTAAATTAAAAAAGAAAATATACTGACTTTAAACCACGCCCATTCGTATCTAGAGTTTAAATATTTAAAATATTCAATAACGCGACGTATTAATAAACATAACGTGACGTAAATTTGAATTGACCAAACATATTAATTAATTTTAATTAGTGTTAACGAATACGAACCGATTCGAAGTTTGTTAAAGCGAAACCACGCCCATTCATAAGTCGAGATAGACCTAAACGTCCGATTGGTCGTTATTGTTTCGACTCCGCCTTTCATTGACTCCTCGTGACATAAGTGAGGTCTCTAGCAACTTACAAGATTGATGAGATGTTTTCCATCCATGAAAGACGATGCGTAAAATAGTTTAATTAATAAAGACAGGAGCGAATATTGAGAAGATAATTGGATAAAAACGAACATTTAATCGATATCTCTTGTTTATTCAATTATATAATATTTCTTAGCTAACGAGATTTTTATTGGCGGAGTGCTTTGCATAAAATTAACTATTGTGAATTTTAATTTTTATCAACGTTTATCATCTGTAAAGGTCTCTTTTCCACGTCACGTAAACGTTTGACCGTGGAGTCACTATTTAAAAAGCATTAAGAGATCGTTTTAACACGTATTTGCAAGATTCTGTTTTGATAATTAACCTGTTTCTTTTGGAAAAAAAATAGAAGAATACGTCATAGTCGAGTGGCTAAATTCTAAAGAGTGCAGGGTTTGTAATTTAACTCCCTCTATAATTCAGTCTAGTCGTCAATATTACCGTTTGCCAATAGAAGGAGAATGGGGATGTTTTAACAAGCTGGAAAGAGACAACGCTCCAAGCGTCATCCTAATCAGTCCTCTGTTTACTCAGATAGCAGCTGGGACCCCCTAACGCTGTCGATAATCAGATTATTATTTATGAAATCTTAGTGAGGACTCCTTCCACGTCAAATAAAGTAATTTAACACGTCCTGTAGAACAAATTTTTACCTTCTCTGATTCGGTGACGAATTCTGAAAACGAATTTCTTTTGATGTAATGACGTCTGCCACTGCACTTTGCAAATTTTTCTGTGGTTATGTCAATACACTTCATGTAGATCCTTCGGAGCTGTGTTTCGTTTTCTACACTCTTATACACATTGATCTTCGAGATGAAAGCGGTCGAGAAGCTGGAACATCTATTAAGGGACCCATAACTCTTTTAGACCTTAAATATAATCAAATCAAATCCAGAGAAAGCACAAAAGCCTTGATTATCTTGTTAAATTTTTTCTGACTTTAACTTGTTTATCTTTCGTTATTAAAAGCATCTGCGAACTTTTATTGATTTTGCAAATGAAACCAATTGATGGAAAAAACAAAACAAAACCATTAGAGTCTCGCTAACTCCCGTATTTTAAGTAGAAAGTTTGCATATTTAAAATGTTTTTGAAAACTCCATAAATATATAATATACACAGAAATAATTTAAAACTAATTATTAATTTAATGTTAACAATTTAATTTACTTACAGTTAGAAATATTTAGCATAGTCTATATTTAAAAGTTTTATAAAGATAAAATTGATAAAGTGATATAAAACTTTAAAAATATATTGCGACTTATATACTTAGGCTATATATATATCCTATATAAATTTCAATTATTTTTAAGATATTAAATCATCAAAAAATTTGAATTATCTTAATTTTTGATCAGACTTCATTTAATCATTATCAAGTTTTAAATAAATTGTTTTAATTGTTTTTCAATCAAATCTAATTTAATAAACAGTTAAATCGATTCACAATATCCAATACAATATATATTAAAATCAAATTAAATTTGTATAAAAATATTTCAAATTATCTTACAAAATTTAATTACAAAATTATATTATGTTTAATTATACTTGAAGAATTAATTGCGATTAACAAGGATCATTAACTGATTTGCATTCAGTAGAAATTTGCTTCGTCTTTTTATTTAGAATTTAGTCGTTTAAACAGTAAGAAATTAATTATTGCATTTTTTAATAATTATTATAAAAAGGCAATGATTAATACCACCACTTATAATTAAAATTAAAATAATTTTTAAAAAATTATTCTTAACAGACAAGTTAAACTTCATTAATTTTCGCTAATTAATATCAAGCTACAGTTTAATAAAACATATTAAAAATTATTTATGAACAAATCAATTCAGTTAGATTAAGAAAAATTAATTACAGTAAATATCATGAATTCATAAATAGATAATTTATGGATAAAGTCAACAAAGAAATTTTTTATGTAAGAAAATGTTAATTTATAAAGGGTTAGTTGTATTAATTAAAAATTTTATTATATTAAAATTAATAAAAAGGAGTGAATATGACTTATAATTTACACATTAATGTTAATAAAATTTTTATATCACCACGNATATAAATTTTAAGAATAAATGAAAATATTTTTTATTATCACCACGTTTCAATATAATGAACGATACTTAGAATTTTCCGAAAAAATAAAGTTTCTTCTTTGAAAAAATGATTCACATTTCGTTCCTATTTCATTCTCAACAAGCAAGCTTTAAAAACTATGAATTATCAAGCAAAAGTATTCAAATTCTATAATTATAAGCAGAGTAAACTAAAAATATCTTTTAATCACTCCATTAAGTTCTCGTCTTCCATAGATATCGTAGCATCCCAAGGGATGGTTAACTTGTACACATTAAAACACTTTACAAATTAACCAATAGGGTGGAGTATGCTCTCCTTATTCTTACCTGGTAAGTCTCCAGGTCTGGAGTAGTACAACCCCGCCCGCGCTGTCCAATCTGAAGGTTCTGGAAGAGGAGGATGGAACGCGCTTCCAGAAACAGGAAGGATAGATGAAACAGCATAAATCGGATGCGTCGATATGACTGGGACATTCAGATGATGAGATAATAAATGTGGAGTAAATGGTATGGATAATTCCTGACGGACAGCACCGATTTTGTCGACCAAGTGTGTTCTAGGATTGTCTCTAGCTAAGAGAGCTTCGATACAGAAGGAGCCGGTTGAATGTGGCAACTTGGTGGCCATCGGCACCTATTGTTAGCTGTGGGAGTGTTAACTAACTCATCGCAATTCAATTTCCATCTTTTTCTTCCATCCAAGTGTCTAGGAGGAGGTTTCCTATTGGCGGAGCCTTGCTAGCTTCTAATGTGTTGGATACAGCGTTAGCTAGGAAATCAATGACTTGTCGACAGCACTAAACACCGATAATGCTGTGGATGTGGGAATAAATTATATCAGTGATCTTAAAGAGGAAAGATCCTTGCTCTTTTCGCCGGTTGTATTTTTAAAAGGAATTCCACTTTTTGAATGTAAAAAATGATATACTACCAATTAATAAGTTATTTAAAATGTTAAAATCCATTTCTGCTTATAAAATTTACAGTTTTTGTTCGTTTTCACAATTATTATAATACAAAGATTTTTATGGTTTTTTTCTAAATTATTTATTATTTTAAATCGGTTAAAATTAATTAAATTAATCAAAATTATGCTTTAAATGTAAATAAAATGTCATAAAATTTTACTGTTTGTATCTAAATATTTTTTTTACGAATAAGATAATTAAATTGATTTAAATTATAAAAAAATTTACAAAATTTAGATTTTGTATAGAACAATTTTCTTATATAAATTTATTATTAATATAATAAC